AGCGACGCCATCGCTGTCCGACAGTGTTCTTATCGCGTGTATTATGCTGAGAGACAAGTAATGCAGTATGAAGTTGATAAAACGCTCACGAAAGACGTCATTTAACTACACCGTGGTTCGTGAGCATCGCCAGTCGTGCTCGTAAAAAAGGACAGCAGCTGGCGCTTCTGCGTAGACTACCGTCACTTAAACAAGGACACACGCAAGGACATCTACCTTTTGTCATGGATTGACGATGCTTTGGACTGCCCACATGGGTCTGTCTACTTCTCCTCTATCGACTTGAGGTCGGTATAATGGCAGATTTTTGTCGATGACCAAGATCAGGAAAGAACAGCATTTGTGACACTCTTGTAGAAGGATATGCCTCCTTCTTGGGGTCCCCAAGAAACTGATGCATTCCGCAAACTTGATATGTGGGGTTTACCATCCCAAAACCACCATATGATTATGAGAGACGCCGTAGTGGAGGACTCCAGAAATTTTGACCACCTGGGGTTCTTTAACGTGCACCCAAATCTGAGCGCACGGGCCTACAGCATCTCCGCCTCCATTGGAAATGCAGCAGCCGTAGCCGGGATTCAAACCCACGACCTGCGGGTCAGCAGCCGAGTACCTTAGCCACTAGACCACCACGGCGGGCGCATTTCGCAAACATGCGTCCTTGCTTAGATCATCTCCCTACTTAACTTATTTTGACCCGTCAGCAGCCATTGAAGTTCGCATCGATGCCAGCGGACATGGCATTGTCGCAATTCTCGCCCAGTAGCACCATGGACAAAATCACGTCATCACCCATGAGTCGCCTCTTTTACTCATTTGGATGCAAGTTGTCGATCTCTGAGCGTGAGTGCCTCGCACTTGTTTGGGCAGTCCGACGATTCCGACCTTACTTAGTTAGCTACCCATTTTCCGTAATCACGGACGACCATGCTCTGCGTTGGTTGTCGTCCCTCAAAGATCCTGCTGGACGATTTCGTCGTTAGGCTTTGAAGCTTCAAAAATACAGCTTTGACGTTACTTACAAGTCTGGCCGAATGCACTCGAATGCTGACTATCTTGTAATCCTGTGGACCCCCATGGGTTGTCATCGCATGATTCCGATGCCTACGTTCGCGCCATATCTGATGTCACTAACATGCTTTGTGAACAGCTCAGAGATGCTGAACTGCAGTGCACGTGGTCTGCGTTATCATGGCTCCAACCCTCCCCTCCACTTGTTCGTGCTCCGTGATGACATTCTCTACACGCGTAACGCAAGTTCCGAAGGCTCAGAACTCCTGCAAGTTGTTTCTGCAACACTACGCTCTACAATTTTTGAACATCAACACGAGCCCCAATCGCCGGACATCCCGGAGCAACCCGCACGTATGATCGCGTACAGCGTCAACCCCTCGGCGCGTGCTTTACTGTTCTGTGCGCCTATATGTTGTATCTTGTAAGCCCGGCCAACGCCATCACCGGTCTTCGTTGTCGCCGCCCGGCCCACTTCGACCTATAGACATTCCTGCCAACTCGTTCTATCGTGTCGGCCTCCATTTCGTAGGCCTTCATCTCCATTTTCTACATAGGTGACGGAGAATAAGTGCATTATTCTGCACTTATTTTCTGCATAACTGCACGACACGGTATGCTATCACGCGGTCACAAACGACAAGCTGTGCTACAGACGCCGCAGACTTTCTCCTGCACGACGCCGTTCTGCACGATGGAGCTCCATGTGAACTGCTGACCAACGTCTGAAAAGTGATTGACGACATTTTTCACTCATGTTCCATGCATCATGAGCTTACCACTGCCTATACCCCACAAGTTAATGGTCTCACTGAGCTCCTCCATTGTGTGTTGTCCACTATATATGTACGTTTCCGCGGACCACTGACATTGGGATGAAACTCTTTCTTGCGTGACGTTCGCCTACAACTAATCCTGTCACGACACCGCTGGTCTGCCCTCTTCTATCTCTTGTATGGCCACCATCCTACTTTACCTTTTGAAACTCTTGTACCGTCAGCTACGTACACTCCCCCAGAGTACGCCAGCGATGCAACTGCTTGAGCTCAAACGGCTAACCAGATCACTCGGGATAGCTTTTATGCCTCGCAGTTGCCTTAAAAGTCCCACTACGACAGCCATCACCAGGCAGTCTCCTGCTCTCCACGATTCTTGGTCCTGATTTAAGACACCTTGCCGCAAGTTGGCTTGTCATCCAAGCTCCTGCCTTGTGGTTTTGTGCCAGCTTATTGGGGTCACGTATGAAATCGCCCCATTGTTCAGTATATTGTCATTGTCGGTTGCCTCAGGTGACATTGTGCACGTATCCCGTCTGAAGTAACACTTCGACTACGATTGTTTTCTTTCCTAAGCGCTGAGATGGCGCTCCCAGCAGCGGGTGATATAGTTTACAAGCCTTGACGAAAAAGCTCGATTGCTCTATTGTGGCGATGAAGACGACGAGTGCAAGAACGCTCGCGTAGTTGTTGTTCGTGTGCTGCCATCTTGGCCTAAGGACCGCCAGTGAGCGTTGTCATTACGTTTTTTTGCTTCCTTTTCTGTTTCGGTTATTCTCACTCTTGGGACAATATGAAGGAAAGATTCATGGGGAACGCAAACTTCGTTCAAGAATCCCCTTGTTATTCTCGGCCACGAAGCGACTGACCCGAAAACGATCATTTCACTGCAAGGCTTAGTTCAGATGCCGAGCGTGAGTCAGAAGATGCACCCATAGCTTTTGATTCGTCCAGTAATGCATATGTGGATGCGGTCAATGAAGCAGGGTCGCCGGAAAAAACGCAGCCCACACAACGCTTGCAATCCGTTTCAGACCGCACGCAACGGAGCAGCTATGGTCGTATTCTGAAGGCAGCAAGGTGACTGGGCATGTGAAGATACCAACATGAAATTTACTAAAAGTGGTAAAAAGAGTCACTAGCGGTGGAATGTAATACATATCAGCATTCAGATGAGTGAGCGAAGACGAGAAGAACAAAACTCTGCTGCCGAGGACTCATGAAACAGAAGTAGCTATCACGAGGCTGTGCTGCTGGGTACCGAATCTAAATTTCTACAAACACAGGTCTGGCCAGGCACCTTCACCGCTGTGCACGTTTAGTGGTGGACTGGTAACACAAGATCATTCATTTGTGACCTGCAGGCGGTCTACTGCAATAAAAAAACCCCTTTAGAAATACATCTAAGTGATATTGCTAAGGATATGTCTGTGCCTGTAATTTTGTCTTTTGGAGCATCCATTTGTCGGTTCTGCAGTGTGAAGGTATGCGCGGTTGCTGGGACAATAATGTTTCAAATAATCGGTTGACTGATTGATCAGTGTTATTATCCTAACGTCTTGACAGTTCTTTGTGTGTTTAGGAATCAGTTTATTACTTGAATTTATAGAAAAATCTCTCTTTTTCTTTTTATATGAAATAGTCATTTGCATTGAATCAAGCACCATAGGTTCCCGGGCAATTTTTAATCATCCCATTATATAGGCTCGAATTTTCTAAAGCTGCAAGTTATTTCATAAAACCACCCACTTCTAGGCCGATCCCACTCAGTGGGTATGTACCACGGGCATTTGGTTAACAAGAACGAGAGTTCACGACGTGGCTAGAGCCTTCCATAGGTATTGAAATGCAATATAGGAACTTCATAATAAATGCTCGTCATCGTAGACAGGCTAACGTGAACAGCGTACTTATCAAGCCCCCTCGCTAAAACATTCAATTTAACATCACCTGATCGGTCGACATGTTTAATATTTGGGATTTAGTGAAGTGCACTAATGGGTGATGGAAAAGTAAATTTGAATACGCTGATATGAAATATTATGCGCCGGAATTTTCCTCTATGTGGAAGCTTGCGTCGTAGAAAAACTAATCTAAAGTAAAAAACGAAACAGTTTAGACAGAGAAACTTTTAAAAAAAGAGGTGTTGAAGATGGTAATGTTCCTATCTCTTTTCCGAAGGTTCAAGAAACAGTGATGGGTAGAGAAATAGTAAATGTTTTTGAAAGAAGGCCGCTTTTAAAAAGGCAAAAGCACATTAAACCTAATGAATGAAGGTACATGTCAACTCCGGGCAGGTAACATTGCAGAAATGTGTTATCACGCCTTATTTTTCCTCTCAATGGCAAGTTAATAGTAATACTGATCAGATGATTTACCCTGCCAGGGAAAATGCTTGTACTACATACATGACAAAAGACTTCATTAGTGCTGTTTTGTCAAAATACACTGACGTCACTCAAAACAGCATTAAACAAAATTTATATAACTTTGCTATTTTTTCTTCGGTTACAAGTGCGTGCATAATATTACTTTGTCTGCGCGAACGTATTCATAAGCTTCGATCACAATGACATACGGAGCTTTTGTGTTGGCGCAGGCTTACATGCCAGTGATGTGAAGATAACCAGCCTTCTTGTGTGTAAGGCGTTGAGTATTTTGCGGCTACAAAAGTACTCGATCTCACTTTCTGGTCAAATATGGCTTGTAGATGGAAAAAAATTACTAGGCGGGGTAGCTTAATTCACAACAAGTTTCATTGAACTGAAGTGATGACCTCCCTAAAAGTAAAATTTTTATACATTTAGGTGTAATTTTATCCCCATGCGGCATACAAATATGTATATTGCACTAAAACAAATGAAAGGTGGCGCATAAATATGTATAATAAAACGTTGGTGTATTACATTAAAACATAAATTAATGTTGGCACACGTCTGGTGATGTTAATAATTGCACTTGATTTGCTTTTTATTTAAAAGCAACACGAGCGGGCTGGAACGCTACATTGAAGACGGAGCACTTTGATGTAGACGTGAATACGCCGCATCGTCCAAGTCACTGGCGAAAATTGCGAGAGCTTACCACCTCCACCTTCCACCTTGCCAGCGCCCGGTGCACCATCTCGATCACGAGCGCCACTAATATCCGCGAGGCAACGAAGACGCTGCAACAGAAGTGAATTGAACGTGCTGCGCACATTGATTCACGATGTTATCGACGAACGAGAGCGACGACTGGGAACTGAACGCTTACGAACTCCAGCAATCACCCGAGGAAGTCGTAGCAGACGATACGAAGGTGCCACTTCAAGAAGACAGCTTCTGGCGGGATCTGCGGTGCCCCATCTGTCTGGACATTCTCAGGAACACTGTCGCGACTGTGGAGTGCCCCCACCGATTCTGCAAGAAGTGCATCACAACGGCACTCACGGGCAACAAGGAGTGCCCCGTTTGCCAGACCAAAGTCACCTCAAAGCGATCGCTGCGGCGAGACTACAGCCTAGACAGTTTAATCGCCAGACTCACCTCTAAGGTCTCCAATGAATTGGAGTGGAAGCCATTGTCGGTCCCAGTCTCGCTGGGCACTCAACCTGACGTAGACTTTGAAGGTGATATGAAAAGCCAAGTGAGTGAGCCAATGATCGTCACTGAAGAGCCTGATGATCAAACTGACTTCGGTAAGGAGACTAACGGTGAGGAAATCACCACGGTGTTCACGAAAATTGCAGCTTCGACGGTGCGTCACGCAGTTTCTCTCAAAAAGGAAGACCTTCCATGTTCGTCTTCGACGTTGGCACAGAGCAAGAGACTGCAGAAACAGCAGCCCCCGAACGAGTGTTCCGAGTCACCAGTTAGTACGAATGACAGCGTCGCTTCGGAAAGTGGCAGCAGTTCGTCTAACTTACGACGCTCTGAGTTGCCGCAGGATGAAAAGGTTTCCATCTGCTGCGCCCCTGCTGAAGGTGAGGACTTTGATACCGCGTTATCTCGGCCAGCAACTGATGCTGACAGTGGTTCTGGGTTAAGTGTGCCACCCGCCGATGTTAACAATGGAGACGATGGGCTCACAAACTGTGCAGGGACATCAAACCGTAGATCCTGCACGGCGCTATCTGATGCACCTCTCCGGACCTACAGCAAACACAAACTAGTATCGATGACTTTGAAGCCACACGTCGACATGCTTCGCGAAGACCCCAGGTCCCCGACATTTTACTTGAGCGTATCAGAACAGGCTACAGTCAGTCATACCAGTGCGTACCTGAAGAAGCGTCTATCTCTGGATGGCGCTGGTCATCACGCCCGGTGCTCTCCTATGTACTGCTTATATGCGGTGAACATGATGGGTGATTTAATTCTACTACCTTACACGATGACGTTGAAGGACGTCGAGAGAAGAGTGAAGAGACCTGGTGAACTGCTAGAAATGTGCTACGCTAAAAACGAGAATTGATCCTGCGTGTTTACACCAGTGGCTTTTATAGGGCAAATAAATATTTTCTAAATAGTGTTTGTTTCGTGAATAGACAAGTCTGCCAGTATAGTTACAAGCCGTAAGTATTTCTTCGGTAAAATAGTACCGTAGAGTACTTGTGCAGCTGCTAGCTAAAGCCACGAAAGAGGCGTTATGATCACTTCCAGCGACTTCTCCTAAAATTTCGATCAATCTTTTTACTTTGCGTGTACGTACTACAGGTGCAGAAGCTCCACCGTCGTAGCTTTTTCTGCATTGCCAAGAAAAGTTCATCAGCCACACTACTTACCAACTCACACCCAAGTTTAGAGCAAGGGTGCATATCATTAAGTTCGGAGCACTTATTCGTCGCACGATGTCGCACTTCGGCATTGCCCCACTGAGGTGGCTTGGCTAAAATACTCGGCTGCTGCTGACCCGCAGGTCGCGAGAACAAATCCTGGCAGCGGCGGCTGCATTTTCGGTGGAGGCGGAAATGCTGTAGGCCCGTGTGCTCAGATTTGGGTGCACGTTAGAGAAACCCAGATGGTCGAAATTTTTGGAGCCTCCACTACGGCGTCTCTCGTAATCATATGGTGGTTTTGGGAGGTTGAACCCCAAATATCAATCAACATAATAAATCAATCAGAACATCAGCGTCGGCGCTGTCCACACCCCCATTGCGCATGCTCAGCTTGTCTCTCGTGCCTCGCCTCATCTCCCTCGAACGCGGGCGGTGTGTATATAGGCAGAGGAGAGAGAGAGAAAGCGTCTTCATTCATTAAAGCACGGAGAAGGAGGGCGCGGGAGGAACCCACTAATCCGGGGTCTTTATGACGACTACAGCGACAAGTCCAGCCCGCATATCATCTCGGAGGACCTCGGGAGGTACAACGCAGAAAGCATCGTCCCAGTGCTCTCGATCGAAACATGGAAGGTCGTGGGCGAGTTTCTACTGCCGCGGCAACGGTGTGCAAGCACTGCGCGTAGAATTTATGAAGAGATACCAGATTAGGGAATGTTTTAGTCTGTAGCTGCCGTAACGCTACTGCCTCCTCTCGCGAGAAAGATAGCCGTGAGGTGCTGTAAGTGCGACGGACGTTCTTATATAGTGACGAATAATGTCGTAATTGAGAAGAAGATCCTCCCACTCCTAAATGGTCGCCTCGCCTTGCCGGGCTGCCTAGAGAGACATTTCGTGGGCAACAGCATGCGCACGTTCATTGCCCGGCGGAGAGGCATGACCAAGAGTCCAGAGTAAGTCAATGCGAAAATACTGTTTGACTCAGTTAGCGGGATTTGATTGAGAATTTGAAGGCACGTTCTTGGGATGCTATGTCTGGGTAGGAAGCCCCAACATGCCTGTTGCGAGTCTGTCAGTATGTACGCCTCACTGCGAACATGGATGGCGTATCGTATCGCCAGAGCGACTCCAAGAATTTTGCCGTGAGTGGTATGCGTCTCACGCATTGCAGCCGAGTCCTGCAGGGAATCGGTGCCATCAACACTACCGAAGTAAACCTTCGTGAGTTCGGGCTGGGTCCGTGTAAAGAGCATGCGATTCCGGAATGTTTTCGAGCATTCGGCTGAGCTTTTGTACGGGGGATTCGCGTCGGCTCTTTTCATGCTGTGGGTGCATGTTACGTGGTATGGGATGAACAGTTAGTATTTTCGGTATCGCAGCCGACCAGGGCGTGGGACGGGTTTCAAACTCAAGTGGAGGGATGGGCTATCCGAGGCGTGGGAGGAGACTGCGGCCAGGAGGGGTGAGTAGGAGGCGTAGGCAATGACTTACCCAATCTGCCTCAAGCAGCTCGCCTAGTGTGTTGTGGTCCCCAACTTTAGAAGAAGGCGTGCGGAAGTGCAGTTCAGAATGCCGTGGGCCAGCTTTGTCGCTTTGTGGATCATGGCGTCTATGCGTGGTTGTGATTGGGTCAACCACTTGAAGGGCAAGTGATATGCCAGCCAGCCGATTACGCAGGCCTCCACCAAGCGAAGCAGATTCTCTTCTTTAAGCCCGGAGCACCTCTTAAAACCCGCCGGATCGTGGGCAGTATTTGGCCAACATGTCGAAATAGAAGACCCAACGGTGTAGTTAGCTTTGCCATCCGCTTGAACATGTAGTTCAAGGATGTAGGCACGACGGACATGTGGTATGGGTATGCCGTCCACGTGCTCCATGATTTGGGGAGGAGGGCTACTGATTCGGGAGTGAATGAATATGAGCTCCGATTTTCGAGGAGCACATTGCAAGCCGCCTTTTTAGGGTACTGCACGACAGTATCCACTAATTTCTGCAGTCGGCCCTAGATGGCATCATCAGAACATTTGTCCACGAGATAGTAATGTCATCCGCATAAACAGCATGGGCGACATCGGCGATCTGGTCGAGGAAGCGGAGAAGCCCTGCCAGTGTGATATTGAATAGTGTAGGTGAAAGAACAGAGCCCTGTCGTATCCCACGTCCTGTAAGGTGGATCGTATCGTATGATGCGGTCTCAGTTGCTCGATCGATATGTGGGGTTTAACGTCCGAAAACCACCATATGATTATGAGAGACGCCGTAGTGGAGGGCTCCGGAAATTTCGACCACCTGGGGTTCTTTAACGTGCACCCAAATCTGAGCACACGGGCCTACGACATTTCCGCCTCCATCGGAAATGCAGCCGCCACAGCCGGGATTCGATCCCGCGACCTGCGGGTCAGCAGCCGAGTACCTTAGCCACTAGACCACCGTGGCGGGGCAGTCTCAGCTCCTCAGTGGCCGTACGATCACGAAAAAATAAGCGGATGTACTTATACAATCGAGTTCCATAATGCGACTCGGCTAGAGTGCGAAGGATGAGGTCATGTTCAACATGATCAAAGGCGCCCTTCTGATCTAAAGCAATGAGTGCTCTCGTTTGGGCGCGAGAAGGAGGCCCTAGGACTTCCTCCCGTAGCTGTAACAGTACATCTTTAGCTGATATATGAGCTCGGTATCCGAATCGACAATGCGCGAAGAAGGATTGCAGTTCTTAAAAGGGCTGCAGACGGCGCAAGAGTACATGCTCCATCAGCTTGCCAATGCAGGAGGTTATGGATATTAGACGTAGGTTTTGAACCTGAACTGGTTTTCCCGTCTTGGGAATCAAGCCGGGAAATTGGCGCCAGTACTCATTGAATATACTGGTGAGATGGGTGATATCCGCTTCACTTAGGTAGCGGAGAGTGTGGTAAACCGAGTGTGGTCTGCTCCTGGTGCCATATTACAGTGTAGATCGTGTAACACTACACTTACTTCCTGAACTGTGATATGTGCATGGAACAATTCATTTGTCTCACCAACGGGTGGATAGTCAGGGTGATGCGGTGTTGGGCCTGTTTGAATGAAATATTTTTCGAGCTCCCTGAGAAGTCTCGAGGGGTCGTCCTGATACTCGTGCATTAGGATGTGTAACTGTTGAAATCTTTTTGTCTTCGTGGTAGTGGGGTCTGCGACGGATCGAAAAATCAACCATGTTTTTGGGGTGCCTACTGTTCCTGAAAGCCGGTTGCAGAATCCTCGACAGTTATTTTTTATGAGAGTCGCTGCATATTTTTGAGATTCCAGCGTAATTTGATCTATTTTTTTTCTCAGTTTACGCTTGAGACATTGGTGTTTCCATCACCGTGTCAATCTTCTCCGCGCGTCCCAAAGATAAAGCAAATGAGGGTCAATGTCTGGTGTTTTGGTGGTAGTACAGAATGTGCGCGTGATGGCCTCTATATTTTGAGTAACGAGAGTCAAGTATTCACTCGTACCCTTGCCTCTACGGTGGGTCCTGGTGACGTTCCCTGAATTTTACCCTGTCTGTAAAGCGTAAACGCCGCTCGGTCCTTCGGGCACTATTAAGTGGTAGAATGGTCACCACAAAATAGTGATCGCTGCCAAGGTGCTCCTCTAGAGGACCACGTGCTACCAACGGGCCTGTATTGCGCACAAAAGTGAGATCAGGGCAGGTGTCCCGTGGTATATTGTCGCCAATACGAGTGGGGTGCTCTGGGTCACTGAGTAGAGTGTACCTCGTGCCACAAAGGTATTGATCCACAAGTGTGTCACTTTGGCCTGCGGCTTGACGTAACCAAAAACTGTACGTTGAGAGTACAAAACTCCCAAATTCCGTTAGAAGGTGGTGGAAGCAATGTGTACGCAAACAGCGGGAACCGTACACAGTAAAAACAAGCTTTCGCTGCTTGAGCCCTGCGTAATTATTTCGATTATTTGTTGAGGGTTGTCACTACTATTGGTATGCCCACGACATGTGACATGTTTCGAAACTAGAGCTCCCACTAGAGGAGAGGCACCCAAGAGCGTGTTGTACTGATAAAAAAGGCGGGCAATTCGGTTCTTGTAAGATGGATAACATTGGAAATGTCAGTTGATGTGGCCACGTACTGCTGCAGGGAATTCCGCTTTTGGCGAAATCTCCTGCAGTTCCACTGCCCACGCCACTAGTCATGGCGTGTCACGTGATGCTATCTTCATCGCGGGAGGAAATGGAAGGGCGTGGGTAAGGGTGTGAGCACCGTGCACCCGCATTAGCTGTTGACGAACGAGAGATTTGGTCAAGTTTAGTCTCGGTAGTTGGCATGGCGGTGGTGTGTGCGAGCGCGCGTTGTATACATAACTGGACGCGCTCCATCATCTCAACTTGAACGATTTCCATGCGGCGTTCTATCCTGTTGAGTACAGCCTGCGTACTGGCACCCATTTCTGCTACCAATGCATCCATTTGCTTTTGCACACTTTCGTAACGCGCCTCCAAGTCTCGACGTAGACGAGCTATTTCCTCGAGAGTACCAGAGGAAGAGCATTTAGTGATCGCCAGCCGCTTTATCGTGGAAGCAAGCTTGCTGCACTGTCATTGACGACACGTGTGGAGCTGCGGTCATCCTTCTGTCTTCGCACAGCAGGGATAGTTACTCTGGGAATCCGCTAGACGGCTTAACATCGGCTGGCACCACCATATAAAGAAACC